TTCAAAAAAAAAAAAAGTAAAATAAGCATAAGGTTTTATTTCAAGTTTCTTTTTTCTTTTAAATAAAAATTAAAAAATTGATTAAAAAGATATATATATATATATATATATATATATATATATATATATATATATATATATATATATATATGAGAATTTTAAATACAAACTAGTCAATAAATTGTTAACACATGCCCAAATGCAAGTGGTTGGGCATATATGTATTGAATTTTATATTTATTATTTTGAATTATTTTCAAACAGGTTGAGTATTGGGTGCCCAAATAAAAAACTAACTCGCTCAATAAATAAGTTGGGTTGTTCTTACCCAATCCAACTAAATCTATAGCCCAATTGATCTAATCCATCCTTTATAATTAATGGACGGATAAAGTAGGTTGTTGGGTTTTGAATTTCTTTGCCAGCTCAAGCGTGTGATTGTGAAGTTTTTGGTTCAACTCTCAAATTATTCCTTTTTCTTCTTCCCCTTATAAGTTTTGGAATCTCCCTTCGGACCAAAGAAAATGTATACCATAGTTTACAATATAGGTAGGCAAAAGCATTTATTCCGTACTTTTTGATATGACAGTTCGTGAATTGTGAACAAATCCTTTTGCCAAAAAATGTAAAATTACATTTGAGATTTAAGAGGAGACTGTTTGTCACTTTTTTTTTTTCTTAAAATTCAATTCTAGAAGATTTGCTAAAGCCTTCATACTATAGACATGCAACAATTTGGGATATTTCACAAAAGATTGTTGCCATGGTGTATAAAGCAAAATTTTACTTTAAATGAATGACTGAAAAATATTCACCCTACAAGTACAATATCAAATTATACATGTTATATATTAAGCAAAAAAGTTCTAGGACTATCTCAACGACTACTAAATAATACTCCTTCCATCCCATTGAAAGTGTCATACTATGTCCAAAAACAATTGTCATGTTAAAAAGTCAAAGTACCTTTTAGTCTCTCTTTCCAATATAACTTTTCTTTCAAATCATATACATGTTACCATTTAAATTTAAATTTTAAATTTGTGGGGATAAAATTGAAAAGAAAAGTATAAACATCACAATCAAACCATTATTTTTTAAAAAGTTGGACTCCCCAAATATGACTAAATAAATGGAATGGAGGGAGTAACTACTATGGTGCAGATCCTGGAAAAAAAGGTCATCCATGTGCACTAAGCAAGACGTTTGTTGAAAGAAAAAAAAAATAGGTGCACTAAGCAAGATCGCACACCTATATATATGTGTGTGTGTGTGTATTTTTTTTTTAGCAAAGGAGGGAAAGAAGTAGAAAATTTAAATTCAATACCTCTAATTCGTAAAATTTAGACTTTTTTTTAGTAAATTTTATATACACTGACTGTATATACACTATTACTGTTAGATTCATGACACATGTGCAAAAATTAAATTTCAAATTTAAATTTTATATAGTTGTCAGTCATCCAAAACTGATAATGTTGGAAAGGTTAATCCTTTTTCTTTTCGATAATAGTAAAGTTTCAACTTTAAATCTTTAATCACTAGACTATACGTCGAAGTGTATCTGTCTATGTTTACTCATAATAGCTTTAATCCAAATTGGCAAAAGAAGTACGAGGACAGCTTATAAAAGGAAGGTGCCCCCATTTGTTACGGTAATTGTAACGGTAACTTTTGAGTTTATTAGTAGTGTTTGTAGCAAACTTTGGTTTTGATATTTTCCTTGCAAACTGACCCAGAAAGAAAAGAGAAAGGGCAAAAGCTTTTTGCATCAGTTGCTCTTAAATCTTCACCGTTTCTTCTTGATATATCTCATAAAATGAACATCATCATGTTATCAACCCCTCTGTTTCTTTGGTTTCTTTTCTTCCATTCTACAACCACCGGTATGCTCTCTCTCTCTAAAATTCCTCAACTAGATAAAATTTTAAATGTGGAATTATGGACGAGTTGCTTCTTCTGATTAAGTCCATGATCGAGTAATTAGAGCAAATACTTATTTTATATCTTATATTTCCCTTGCATAGGTTGTACATGATGATTCTTGAACAGTATCAAATTCAATTTGTCCAAATTGATGTTCAAAGATTCTTTTCACTATTAATGGTAAATTAGTTTTTTCTTGGCTATAAAGATAGATGCGTTAAAACTAGGGAAATTCACGTAATTACTCAATATAGTCAAGACCTCCAAGCAAGGTCTCATGCTCATTGGTGTTATTTTAGCTATTTAATTGGACCCTTAATTAAGTTTTTCATTGAGGGTTTATGGTTACAACCACCGGCGCAACCAAAGGGGGCGGAAAAAGGCTGCCACTCCCCTCCCTCCACTCCTCCTTCCCCCCACACCCAAAACACCCCCACGAAATGTCCTATATATCATTTTCTCAACTATATCCTTATAAAAATTAAGCTTTGCCCCCTCAAGATTTTTGAAATCAGTATACAATCCAATGTAATGTTAAAAGCTTTTACTTATATCCTTGTAATTATTAGACTTTACCCCCGAAATTTTTAATTAAAATGTAAGAATGCCCACCCTTAAGTATACTTTTTAGTAGTCCCCCCCCCCCCCCCGCGCTCCCCCCCTATTCTTGAAATCATTATACAATCCAATGTAATGTTAAAAGTTTTTACTTGTATCCTTGTAATTATTAGACTTTACCCCTAGAATTTTTTATTACAATATAAGAATGTCCACCCTTAAGCATACATTTTAAGTAGGTTACAAGGACATGATTAGTTTTTCCTATCATTGGACATCTACAATTTTTTTTAATCATCATTGTATTGAAATAGTTGAATTTGCTTGTTTGATTGCACAGATGGCAAAATGAAACTTAAATGCTCGGAGATGTTGTGCTATATGCAAATGAAGCTGGTAGGGTGTGACATTGGTAGGTGTATGATTACTTGTGCCCAAAATTATGCAAGAACACTATTTGGAGAATGCCTCTCCATTGACAACTGCCTTTGTGGTGTTTCATGCTGTATTTGATAAATCCCTTTCATGATTAACCAATTTGTGATAACTTGGGAAAATGCTTGCTACATTAACAGATTTTCCTCTTTTGTTTAAATCTTTTAATTATTCCAATCTTCATATCATTAGTGAATAAGTTATTTGAATATAGGGTTACAAATGGATCGAGCCACTCGCGACTAGCTTGAATCCAAGCTCGACTTGAGTTTCCTCAACATTGAACTAGAGTTGAATTCAAGCTGACCAAGTTGAATTCGGGCTTCAACTCGAGTTTAAAGATATTCAACTCGTTAGCTTAAAACCGACTCGATTATATATATATTTTTTGTTATTTTAATAGTAAAATTATATATATATCCCTAGTATTTTATTAATTGTTAGAAAAAATATTATCTTATTCATTTTTTAAAAATAAAATAATTATTTTTTAATTTTTTAAACTCCAACTCGACTCAAATTTGATTCGAGCTCAACATCGAACTTTATATTTTGAGATCATCGAGTTCGAGTTTCATAGAACTAAGTTGAGACTCGATTCGATAAGGCCAAAACTCGATTCGACTTAGTTCGTTTGCACCCTATTCGAATCCAATGTGTATTTTTTTTAATTAAAGAGTAGTGGTATGTTTCATCAGTCAATATATTACCCAACTATTGCTTCTTACATAGAATATGAGGTGGCATATTTGTCACTGTTGACATGGAAATGAAGTAATTAAGTGACTTTTATTTTTTTTTTCCTTCTTTCCTCTTTTCTTTTACCAATTTCTTCACTTTGTTCTTTGATACCATGCGACCCTGCCCTTCTGACTGCTAAGACCATAATCACCACTAGCACTCCAAGAGCCATGGCTGCAGCCTCTTCTAAAAAACTTTAAGAAATTCTATGAGTATGCTAAAATCATCCTATATATCCTCAATCAATACCAAAACCGAACCAAAAGAAACACGATTTAAGGATCAAATGTGCAATGTCCCCATCTATTGGCATCTAGATATTGATCATTAAGTTCTTTGAATCCGCAAGTAGTATTTGAGTGCTAGAAACATAAAAATTTATAAGCAGATAATTAAGAAGAAGAAAAAAAAATTAAAGCCCCATTGAAAGCGCAATCATAGAATTTTGCAACCACTATGACAAACATGTTGTTAATGCGCAAATTAGGCAGTTTATTTGTTAATATTTTCCCCTTTATTTTGACCAAACGTTGTGATAATTTGCTATATTCTACTTATAATTGAATTTTTGTGTGATTTCTAGGAACTTCAAGTTAATTGAGGCAGAAAAGGAGAAATCGAAGCCTAATTGAGGAAATTCCATTAAGAAAATCTTGATACAAGTTTCTTAGTTGATACTAGAAAGCACGCATCCCATTTGATAGGGAATGAAGCAGAAAACTACCAAAAAGGAGGGACTTTATGGAGAATATGGAGACTTCTAAGGGCTTCAAACCTTGGGCCCTTGAATTGGTGGGGGACCACAAAGCTAGTAAAAGATATTTGGTCATTTGGGCTCTTCAAAGAAAGCAACGTAGAGAGACTTGGAAAAAGAAGTAATTTTGGAGACTTTGTCCACATGTGCCAGAGTTTACTTTATATTTATTGTTATTTATTTTATATGCGATTGTCTTATTTTTAATTTGAGCAATTAAATTAGACAGTTCCATATCAATTCCCCCCATTTTTATTTAATGTTACATTCATTCAAAATAAATTCCCAAATCCCTGTGGATTCGACCCTGCTCACTGCTATATTCAAATTTTGTCTTTCACGTAATTAATATACTTTGGTATATCGGATCAAGCAAACTCTGGCACCAGGGTGAAGCTAGTAACCCATTGCACAGCCTAAGTCCCTGCTCCAGTACCATAGTGGACTTAATTCGTGACTTAAGAGTAGGAATTTTATTTTTGCTGGTTTGACACCCACCAAATTTTGGCGCCGTTGCCGGGGACTTGGTGTCAAAATAAATTTATTTTCTTTGAATTTTATTTTCTTTGTTTATTTTTTATTTTTATTGTTACTGGTTTATGCCTAGATCTTCTCGTACAGGTGAACTGCAATATAATCCTGAGATAGAGAAGACTGCTCGTGCATTGAGAAAAGCAACAAGAGAACGAGCAGAGGCATCCTCCTCATCTACTGGACATAATTCAGTAGTAGATTTTGTGGATTCATTTAGTGAGACGGAAGAGATAGATAGCACCATGGCTAATGAACGGACATTGAGAGAATTGGCTGCACCAGATTTAAATCAACAGCCTCTATGCATTACTTATCCTACATTAGAGGTTGCATTTGAGTTAAAATCTGGACTCATCCATTTACTTCCTTCTTTTCATGGCTTACCAGGTGAAGATCCCCACAAGCATCTCAAAGAATTCCATGTGATTTGCTCGACAATGAAACCTCAGGGAGTCACAGAGGAGCAAATTAAATTAAGAGCCTTTCCATTTTTCTTAGCCGATAAAGCTAAGGATTGGCTCTATTATCTGCCTTCTGGGTCAATATCCACATGGACAGACATGAAGAAGCATTTTCTAGAAAAATTCTTTCCTGCATCCCGAGCTGCAAGCATTAGGAAAGACATCTGTGGAATTCGACAATTCAATGGAGAGACTCTACATGAATATTGGGAAAGATTCAAGCAACTATGTGCTAGTTGTCCTCATCATCAAATTCCTGACCAACTCCTCATCCAGTATTTTTATGAGGGTCTGTCCCAAACTGACAGAAGAATTATTGATGCTGCCAGTGGGGGCTCCTTAGTGAATAAAACACCCACGGAGGCAAGAAGTTTGATATCGAGTATGGCTGCAAATGCTCAACAATTTGGAGACAGGCATGATAACACAACTCGTAGAGTCAATGAGGTAAGTAATTCTTCAATAGAGCAAAGATTAGATTGTCTAACTTCTTTGGTTGAAAAGTTAGCTATAGGACAAATGCAGCAATTGAAAACATGTGGAATCTGCTATGGTTCGAGTCATCCAACAGATATGTGCCCCACACTCCAAGATGATTCGACTGAGCAGGCTAATGCAGTTGGATTTCCAAGACCACCTCAGAGGCGGTATGATCCCTATGCAAACACCTATAATCCAGGATGGAGGGATCATCCTAATTTTAATTATGCAGCAAGGCCACCAGGATTTCCACAACAGCCACAATATCAACCTAGACCTCAACTTTCACAGCAACAATCTGCTCATAAATCAGGTATGTCACTTGAGGATATTGTGAAATCTTTGGCTACTAACACTCAACAATTTCAACAGGAGACGAAAACTAGCATTCATAATTTGGAGAATCAAATGAGCCAGTTAGCTTCCACAGTCAATAGATTGGAGTCCCAATTATCTGGAAAGCTACCTTCGCAGACAATTGTCAACCCCAAGCAAAATGCTAGTGCCATCACATTAAGAAGTGGCAAAGAGTTGCCTGAGCCGAGCAAGAGAATTTCTGAACAAGCAATCGAGGAAGAGCTCGAAAAAGAGGGGAATGTGTCTCAACCCAGGGCCTTAGAACAACCAGATTTTGGAGAAAAATCAACACAAGTGGTTACACCTCCGCCTCCATTTCCTAGTCGACTGGCAAAGTCCAAAAAGCAAGAGCAAGAACAGGAGATTTTGGACACTTTTCGAAAAGTTGAGGTAAATATCCCTCTTTTAGATACAATTAAACAAATTCCTAGATATGCTAAATTTTTGAAGGAGTTATGCACTGGTAAGAAAAAGTTGAAAGGAAACGAGAAAGTGCATATGGGAGAAAATGTCTCGGCAGTTTTGCAGAAAAAATTGCCTCCTAAATGCAAGGATCCCGGTATGTTTACTGTCCCTTGCAAAATAGGCAATATTAAAATTGAAAAAGCTATGTTGGATTTGGGTGCTTCGATAAATGTTATGCCTCGTTCTATTTATAATTTGATGAACGTTGGGCCTTTAAAAGAGACGGGCGTAATAATTCAACTGGCTGATCGATCAAATGCCTATCCTGATGGAGTTTTGGAGGATATTTTAGTACAAATTCATGATTTGATTTTTCCTGCAGATTTTTATGTGCTTGATATGGAGGATGATAATTCTAATTCATCTCCAATACTGTTAGGGAGACCATTTTTGAAAACTGCTAGAACAAAAATTGATGTTTTCACTGGCACATTGACTATGGAATTTGATGGTGATGTTATTAAATTTAATATTTATGATGCTATAAAATATCCTGGTGAATCTCATTCAATTTTTGTTATAGATGTAATTGATTCTTTGGCGCAGCAAAATTTTGAATTTAATAATGACGATGCGTTGAAGGTTGCTATTTCTACTGGTCTCTGTCAGGAAAATTTGCAAAAAATAAAAGGGAAGTTTGTTTTTCCTTTTGAATTGCAGGAAGTTATTTTTGAATTGAATTCTCTTTGTCCAGAATTTTCCAATGTGTCTTACTTGGAATTACCTTTGTCTCGTTCACAGCTTTTGCCATCTATTGTGCAAGCCCCGAAGGTGAAATTAAAGCAGTTACCGGATAATTTAAAGTATGCATTCTTGGGAGATGGAGATACACTCCCAGTAATAATTTCCAGTAAATTGACTGCTTTAGAGGAAGAAAAACTAATTCGGGTGTTGAAGGACCACAAGGAGGCAATAGGATGGACAGTGGCTGACATAAAAGGATTAAGTCCAGCAACTTGCATGCATCGCATCTTGTTAGAAGATGGTGCTAAGCCTTCGAGAGAGGCTCAAAGGAGATTGAACCCACCAATGATGAAGGTAGTGAAGAAAGAAGTTTTAAAACTTCTTGACACAGGTATAATCTATCCTATTTCGGATAGTAAGTGGGTAAGTCCTGTTCAAGTAGTTCCTAAAAAAACAGGAATTACTGTTATTGAAAATCCTAAAGGTGAGTTAGTGCTCACTCGAGTTCAAAATGGATGGAGAGTTTGTACCGATTTTAGAAAATTAAATGCATTAACTCGTAAAGATCATTTTCCATTGCCTTTTATTGATCAGATGTTGGAAAGGTTGGCAAGAAAATCTCATTATTGCTGTCTTGATGGTTTTTCAGGTTTTCTACAAATTCCAGTGGCGCCTGAAGATCAAGAGAAAATCACATTTACTTGCCCTTTTGGTACATTCGCCTATAGACGAATGCCTTTTGGTCTTTGTAATGCGCCTGCTACATTCCAAAGGTGTATGGTTAGTATATTTTCTGATTATGTGGAGAATATCATAGAAGTGTTTATGGATGATTTTACTGTCTATGGTAATTCTTTTGATGAATGTTTAACTAACCTCACAAAAATTCTTAAAAGGTGCATTGAGACTAATCTTGTCTTAAATTATGAGAAATGCCATTTTATGGTAGACCAAGGCATAATTTTAGGCCATGTGGTATCTGTAAAAGGAATTGAGGTAGATAAGGCTAAGGTAGAAATTATCAAATGTTTACTTTACCCTGCAAGTGTGCGGAAAGTTCGCTCTTTTCTTGGCCATGCAGGTTTTTATAGGCGTTTCATCAAAGATTTTTCAAAGATATCCCATCCTCTATGCAAATTACTTCAAAAGGATGTGGTATTTCATTTTGATGATAATTGCAAGAATGCATTTGACACGCTCAAGAGATCATTGACTTCAGCACCAGTGGTTCGACCACCAAACTGGAGTCTTCCTTTCGAGACAATGTGTGATGCCAGCAATTTTGCTGTTGGTGCAGTACTCGGCCAGAAAGAGGGCAGAGCTTCTTATGTCATTTATTATGCCTCGAGGACCTTGGATGGTGCCCAGTGCAATTATTCGACTACGGAAAAGGAGCTTTTAGCTATTGTTTTTGCTTTAGAAAAATTCCGTTCTTATTTACTTGGCACTAAGGTCATTATTTATTCTGACCATGCAGCTTTGAAATATTTGCTCAACAAGAAAGAGGCCAAACCACGACTTATAAGGTGGATTCTCCTACTCCAAGAATTTGATCTGGAAATTAAAGACAAAAGGGGTGCTGAAAATATGGTTGCTGATCACCTCAGTCGTTTGATCAATAGTGAAGGACCTGCTCCCTTAAAGGATAATTTTCCAGATGAGCATCTTTTTGTAGTTAAAAAGACAACTCCCTGGTATGCTGATTTAGTGAATTATCTTGTTACTAGAACGCTACCTAATGATTTGTCTAGAGCTCAAAAGGAAAAAATTAAAAGTGATGTTAAATATTATGTGTGGGATGAACCATACTTGTGGAAATATTGTTCTGACCAAATTATTCGCAGGTGTGTGTCTGAAGAAGAGGTTCCATCAATTTTATCTTTTTGTCACTCATATGCGTGTGGTGGACATTTTGGCCCTAAGCGAACTGCAAGAAAGGTTTTAGAGTGTGGTTTATTTTGGCCAACTTTGTTTAGTGATGCATACTTATTTTGTAAATCATGTGCAAATTGTCAAAAGACAGGTAATTTAAGCCATAGAGATCAAATGCCTCTTACTCCTATACCGGTTTGTGAAATTTTCGATATATGGGGTATAGATTTTATGGGTCCATTTCCTTCCTCTTTTGGTAATATGTATATATTACTTGCAGTTGATTATGTCTCAAAGTGGATAGAGGCTAAGGCAACTAGGACTGACAATGCTAAGGTTGTAGTTGATTTTATTAAATCTCATATTTTTGTCAGGTATGGCACGCCAAGAGCAATTATCAGTGACCGAGGGACACACTTCTGCAATCGAGTAATGGAAGCATTGTTGAAGAAATATGGCGTCACTCACCGGGTCTCTACGTCCTATCATCCGCAGACTAGTGGTCAAGCAGAAATCTCCAATAAAGAAATCAAGTCGATACTTGAAAAGACGGTGAATCCCAATAGAAAGGATTGGAGTTTGCGCTTAGATGATGCACTTTGGGCTTACCGTACAGCTTTTAAGACCCCCATAGGTATGTCTCCTTACCGATTAATTTTTGGCAAACCTTGTCATCTACCTGTGGAATTGGAACATAGGGCATATTGGGCAGTTAAAAATTATAATATGCGGATGGATGAATCTGGAGAACACAGGAAGTTGCAATTGCAAGAGTTGGAGGAAATCCGAAATGATGCATATGAGAGTTCTTGCATTTATAAGGAGAAGACAAAAGCATTTCATGATAAAGCAATTTCAAGGAAAATTTTTTGTATTGGTCAAAAAGTACTTCTTTTTCACTCTAGACTTAAACTTTTTCCTGGTAAATTGCGTTCTCGTTGGATTGGACCTTTTATTGTGACTAATGTGTTTCCTCATGGTGCAGTAGAAATTCAAAGTCTTCACACTGACAAGATTTTTAAGGTTAATGGTCATCGTCTCAAACCTTTTTATGAAGGATTTGAAGTTAATAATGTTGAGGAGGTGACCCTTGCAGTGCCTGAATACTCTGATTGAAGCATTATTTTGTCTAGCCAAAGACATTAAAGAAAGGCGCTGCGTGGGAGGCAACCCAAGAGTTATTGTTTTTAGTAGTTTGATTGTGTTTGTTGATTTGTTAAAAGTGATTTACGTGATATAATTTCATTGTGATAGGTAGGATCAAATTAAGCAACAGATGGATCGACGTTTGTCCCGCATGGGTCATAACCTGGCAGCTTATTTCGAGCACGTTCGTTTCCAGCCTCCTTTCCCACCGGAAACTTAGTATTTCTTTAGGGGAGTATTTCTTTCTTTCTACACTTTATTTTTATTTTTTCCTTGAGGACAAGGCAATGTTTAGGTGTGGGGGAGGGAGATCATGTTGGTTTTTAATTTCTAGTTTGGTTTTTTTAAAAAAAAAAATGAAAAAGAGAAAATATTTTAAGTATTTTTGGTCAGTTTTTGAGTTAATTCGTCTAGTTTCTGATTTTTCAAGACTTTTTGAGATTCGTATTGATTCAGTCAAGATGCAAGTGTGAATGGTATTCTATTGCTAGTGCAAGTAATATGTTTTCTTAACAATTGATTTGAATGATGGATGTGCTAGATTTGACATAATTTTTGTGAGCTTTTGAGCCTAATGAGCAATTCATTATAGTGTGTTCTATACGCATGTAGGTCTGTCCTATCTTCTCTCTAGGAAAAAACTCTCTTCCTTCTCTCTTCTTATTTTCTCTAATTTCTCAACTAGTTCATGGCTGCCCTTCAGCCGTCGGCTGAGGGGCAAGGATTATCACCTACAAAAAAAAAATCTTTTTCTCAACTTTTTTCTCAGCCGGCAACATCGTCTATCCACATTCAGCAGGCTTCTGTCTACAAGGGAGAAGCTGCAGTAGTTTTTTCTAAAGCAGATGCAGACAAACTTGCAGCGCCGTTTCAATGGGCTTTGGTGGGAAAATTTTCTCACGGCCGACCTTCTTTGGAAGACATTCGAAAGTTTTTTGCTTCTTTAAACCTGAAGGATCATGTTTCTATTGGATTGATGGACTATAGGCATGTTCTCATTAAGTGCATGGCTAAAGCTGACTTCAACAGAATTTGGATGAGAGGGATTTGGCAACTGGGTAAATATCCGATGCGTGTGTTTAGATGGACAAGGGAGTTTCATGTGCTTAGGGAATCATCTCTGGTTCCGGTTTGGGTAGTTCTTCCAGCTCTGCCTATTCATTATTTCGACAAACATTCATTATTCTCCATACTTTCTCCAGTAGGAAGACCACTGTTTCTAGATTCGGCAACGGCAGCTGGGACTCGACCAAGTTTGGCCAGGGTATGTGTGGAGCTCGATGTAGCGAAATCTTTTACAAAAAGAGTTTGGGTGGCTGTTGAAGGGGAGTCTGGATTTTGGCAACGGATTGTGCCAGAGAATATGCCATTGTATTGTTCATCTTGTTCACGTTTGGGTCATTCCCAAGAGCAATGCAAGAAGAATGTAACTGAGGTTGGGTCTCGGTATCTATATAAGCATAACACGAAGCTGCAGAGGGATCTATCGTTAGAAGTTAATAATGTTCAAGTGTCTAATTTAGACCTCGTGAAAAACCCAGATGCTAACTTGGAAAAAACAACAGATGCCGTGACTGATTCCGACGAAGTGCAGCGTACTGAGATGGGCAATTATGCTGAAAAACTAAAAGGTGCAGTGGTGGAGGAAGTTTGTACTGCCACAAAGGTTCAAGAAGTTAGTAAGCCTGATGATCACCTAATTCAGCTTGGAGTAACTAAGTTGTCGTCCTCTGCTGGATTTGAACAACCACAAAATGATCTTGCAATGGAGCTGCCAGTTCGTGAGGAACGAAGGGAAATGGAAAACCAGCTGGAAAAGGTCCACGGGAATGAATACCAAGGGACCCGTTTTGAAACTAATATAAATCCCACAGACAAACTTCAGAGTAAGGCCGACAAAAATTCTCTTCATCATCTAAATACTGATCACCAAGTGGTGATAGTTGCTGCATCCAAGCCGACAACATATGATGTGCAAGGGAATTTGAATACGGCTCATATGAGGGAGCAAGCACTTGTTGGGGAACAATTGTTAATGCAAAAGCATTCAGAACAGGTCCATGGAAATGATGAAGGGACCCAAGCTACATCGTCTGAAGCATCAAAAGAGAAACTTCAGTCCATGGCCGACAATAACTCTTTGGAGCATCTCTATGTTGAGTTGCGAGGAGTGGAGAATTTCGGTCCTACAGAGCATGGGATAGTGGAGGTTAATTCACCAACTGTTGCAGGAAATTTGTCTCCCAGACCGGGTGTCCCACAAGAAAATTTGCCTGAATCATCAGGTCCTTCTTCAAGTATTGATCAATCAGGGGGGGCTGACCGTAATCCCAAACAAAAAAGGACAAAAGGTTTGAGGGCTAATCTGCAAACCGACAGAATTTTGCGCTCACGGTCAGAGACATCATCCAAAAACTCATTCCAGGTTCTTTCTCATGATTAATGGCATTTTTTGGAATATTAGAGGAGTAGCTAAAGCACCTAATCTACGAAGATTAATCAATTTAGTACGGACACATCATCTCCAATTTGTTGTGATTTGTGAGCCAAAGTTAGACGTATCTAAAATACAAACCATTCGTCTACGTCTATTATTTGATTACGTGCTTGTTAATTGTTCAAGTGATATTTGGGTGTTCTACAATAATCCTTTTCTTTGCTCGATTGTTGGTAATTCGGATCAGCATATTTCTCTACATGTACAAAGTCCCCTAATTCCTTCTCCAATAATTTTGTCCTTTGTTCATGCAAAATGCTCAGTTGACGAGAGGCGTGAGTTATGGTCCTCATTGTTAGCTGATAAGCCTAGTTTTCTTCCTTGGTGTATTGGGGGTGATTTTAATGTTATTGTGGCACCTCATGAAAAAAGGGGAGGTCGTCCATTTGCTATAACAGAAGGAGTGGAATTTCTGTCTTTCATGGAGGAGGCTGGAGTATTTGATGTAGGCTTCTCAGGACCCAATTTTACATGGTCAAATAATCGACGAAGTAGAGCTCGGATTTCAAAGAGGTTAGACAGGTTCTTAGTCAACGGGGCATGTCTGGATCTTTCTTATAACATTTCTGTCCTTCACTTGGCTAGACATCCATCTGACCATTCACCATTAAAGCTCTCATTTGTTGCTCAATCAGATACTAAGCCGCGTCCATTTCGATTTTTGAATGTGTGGACAACTAAACCACAACTCTTGGAGGTAATACGCCAGGCTTGGACTCAAGATGTCAATGGATCTCCGATGCGTGCTCTATGTTCTAAATTATTGGCAACAAGAAAAGCCATTCAGACATGGAACAAAGAACACTTTGGAAACGTGATCGATAATGTGCGATCTGCAGAAATGGCGGTGCAACGGGCAGAAGAAGTGGTAGATCAAGATGATTCGGAGGAGTGCCAGATTGAACTCAAAAAGGCTCAGGCGGAGCTGAGATATGCATTATCAATTGAAGAACAATTTTGGAGGCAAAATGCTAGGGTAAAATGGCTTCGACAGGGAGATACTAATTCAAAGTATTTTCATGCGATAGTAAGACAGAGACGGGCTCAAGCTATGATTCATCGAATAAAAAAAGCCAATGGTGTTTGGGTGGACAATGAAGCTGATATAGCAAGTGAAGCAACCACCTATTTCTCTGAACTTTTCTCAGATTCTTTGGGATCATCTGGAGATATGCTACAACTCATTCCACCTATGATTTCAGGAGAGGATAATGTGAAGTTGGAAGAAATCCCTTCAATTGAAGAGGTTTTTAGAGTCCTGAAGGCAATGGATGAAGAAAGTGCTGCTGGCCCAGATGGATTCACGGGAAAATTTTTTACTTTTGCATGGCAAGTAATCGCCCAAGATGTCTACAAGGCGGTACTCAGTTTTTTCTGTGGAGCAGAGCTACCTCGTTTCATCACCTCTACTTCAATTGTTCTAATTCCAAAGGTGCCAAATCCTCAAGATTTTTCTCAATTTAGACCCATCAGCCTATGTAACTTCTTCAACAAGTTATTATCAAGGATCTTGGCAGACAGAGTGGCGGGAATATTGCCAAAAATTATTTCTCCCCAGCAGACAGGATTTGTGAAGGGTCGCAATATAACCGAAAACTTCCTACTTGCACAGGAGGTGATATCGGGTATGGCGAAAAAGAATAGAGGTGGTAATGTGGTTATGAAACTAGACATGTCTAAGGCATATGACAGAGTGGCATGGAGTCATATTATCAATGTTCTGAGAAGGTTCGGTTTTGGTGAGAGATTCATTGATATGGTTTGGCGAATGATTTCTAATGTCTGGTTTTCCGTCATTATAAATGGATCCTCATATGGTTTTTTCAAGTCTTCGAGAGGACTCCGTCAGGGGGACCCATTATCACCAGCATTATTTATTATAGGGGCAGAGGTGTTATCTAGAGCACTGAATAATCTTGTCATGCAACCAAGATTTGTGAGTTTCAAAGTTCCATATGGATGCCCGTCTATTACTCACTTGGCATTTGCGGATGATGTTCTTATATTTGCAAATGGATCCTCATTTTCCCTGAAGGCTATCATGAAAGTGTTAGATGATTATCAAAGATGCTCGGGCCAATTACTAAATGTACAAAAAAGCTGTTATCTGGTTCATCCATCTGTATCAATGGCAAGACGACGGCTGCTTGATCGCATCTCTAGGTTTGCCCGCAAGTCATTTCCAATACGCTATTTAGGGTTTCCGCTCTACATTGGAAGATGCAAATCATCTTATTTTGGAGAAGTTTGTCACGCAATACTAGCAAGGATTCTGTCTTGGAAATCAAGGTTACTTTCCTTTGGAGGAAAAATTATTCTAATCAAGCATGTATTATCATCAATACCAGTTCACCTAATGTCAGCTGCAGTGATTCCCAGCTCGGTGTTTAAAACTATAGAAAAGGCATGCTCGGCATTCCTCTGGGGATCCTCACCCGAGGAATCGAAGCTTCATTGGATACGTTGGCCTCAA